AGAACATGTTTATTGAAGTTTCAGTTTTCTGTTTTAAAATAATTTAAGTATCCCCAAAGTCATCCTATAATTTCATTACTTTCAGGTCCATCTGAACAAAAAGATAGTGGACATATATTTTGGTAGAAGCAAAATGCTTATCGATACTTACAGAGTTGATTTAAATGAATGACGATTGTGACAAGGGAAGTTATAACAGACACTGATAATGACTTTGAAAAATTTTGCAAATACCTCTGTGGAGGCAGATTGCTTTCTTAGTGATGTGTGTGTAAGTTAGACCACGATGTCAAGTGTAAAAAGCCAAATAAATTTTAGAAATAGGAGATTTTAGGAGGACTTAGGACAGATAAATAATAGACCCATAATTTCTTTTACTGTTTGTTCATCATGAACTTGTTCGTGTGATCAGCCACCTAAGTGCATAGTCAGTATTCCCCAACACCCACCCTTGTGCGAGCGCACGCGCACACACTGTCTTGCACACATATTTCACGCTTATCATAATCCATTCAGTGTCACCAGTTATGGTCTTGCTGAAATGAGAAGCATTTCGCTTGCGTATCTGGTGCAGTGTTCACAAGGGGTCTCATTTCAAAACCCAGGAAATTTTCCTGGGCCTTTCTGCTTGCGTCCTCAGTCTCCCCGTTCTGCCAACGCTAGAGTTCGTTTGACTTGGTGCTGCTGGTGGTGTAGGAAGTCCTAGTACTAGTGTGGCGCTCTCTCTCTCTCTTTTTTTTTTCCCTGACAGATTTGAAAATTCAGAACGTAATTATTCTCTTCCTTCTTTTTTGATTTTTGCCTTTTTCTTTCTTTCATTTGGTCGTTCATTTTTTTTCATCACTGTGAAAAATTGCTGTGCAATTATTTAAATAAGTAATTTTACGTCTATTTTAGTGAAATAGATATCACTGTAATTGTACTCGTAAGTTACAGCACTCTTAGAACCCCTGTCCTAAACTTCATTTTACAGTAGTTACGCCCCATAGTAAAACATGAGTTTTTTTCATCTCTGACTGCAAATTTGAAATACCTAATTTTTTTGATGCCGAAATGGATAATTTATCTTATTCCAGTTTAGAGCAACCATTTCTGATTTGGCTGGGGAGGCCAAAAAGACACACCAAATGCCTGAGGGGTCTGAGAAAGAGAGCAGCTGAAAGGAGAGCAGACACTTTTGAGGCTTCTGGAGTGCGGCAGCAGCAGACTTCTCTAAATCTCTAGCACTAGGACTGTGCATTTACGGATGAGAATCAGCTGACCTCTCCCCTCCACGTCCCTGTCAGCTTCTCTTACCTTCCGTCTTACTTATCAGGGAACATTTGTGTGTGTAATGCAGTCTGATGCCATTTACTTACATTAGAAAAACACGCACAGCCATATTATATATTTATGGATACATGTATAGGTAGTAAAATTGTTAAAATTGAACTGGAAAAATAAGTACCAACTTCAGATTCTGTTTCCTTTTGGAAGTGATGGGAATAAGTATTGAAGGGAGCAAAAGATGTGACCTCTCTAAGTGTCATGTTTTATTTCCTTTTAGTAAATGTATATTTGATATTACTTCCCTCTTTGATTGGTGTGGATGATTGGATCATCATAGCTTTTTGCTGCTACTAGAACTTAATTCAGAACAGAATTTTTGGAAAATGTTTTGAAATAAATTATGTATCAACAATATATATGTTTCCCAGTGTGAGGCTAAGTTCTTTAATTGATTAGTTTTAAATGATTACTTTTCCTTTTATCTCACTGAGCTTGTGTTGTTACCTATCCAGAAGGGGGCAGCATGAGTTTGTGAAAACGGAATTGTCAGGTATCTAACCTTATCGTGCCTTCCTTTGACAATGTTAAATCCCTAGCTCTTAGAGACAAGACCCGATGGTGAGAATGGTGTATGTGACTGTATGTGTGCTAAGTGCCTCAGGTTCGCAGCCAGTAAGAACAATGAACATCGTAGGTTTTCTCTGTAATATATTTTTAACCTACAGATAATTTCCATTCCTGTATAATCTAATTTATCTTTTTTCTGTTTAGCTTCTTTCATATTTTTGAATCCTAGAATCTTCCCCTACCCAGATATTTGATGAAATTTGATTAAAAAACAATGCCTGAATTGAAGCAAACATCAAATACTTGAGTCTATCTGAAATTTATTTATGTCTGTGGGTTGAGGAAAGGATAAAAATCATCTGTTCTTCCCTAAAGTAACAGATTATCTCAATGTCATTTATTAAATAAGTTCTTCTTTGATAGGTAATATCTTCTTAATCTTACATTAAATTCTTCATATTTATTTGTTCTTTTATTAATAAGGAAGCAGTTGAAGAAAAATGGAGTTCCACTATATCTTTAGTGTCTTTTGTATGTAGTGAATGAATGGAGATATTAAAACTTGTCCTTAAAAGTCTTATTTTCATTAGAACATAACTGTTCTATTAGGTGGTTAGTCAGTGTTTTGTTTGGACCATATGGTCTTATTTTCTAAAACAGCTATTAAAGAAACAACCCTACCTTTTTTTTTTTAAAGAAGGATGAGCTATGGATTTCTGTAAAAAAATTTTTTTAATCTAGTTTTGTGAATGTGTGGAAATGAAATTAACATTTGCAGGCTCTTTTTTCCCCTTCATGTAGAGTATTTAAAAGTGATGAATGAGGCATCTTAACTGCACATTTATGTTCCAGAGAAGGAGTTCTGGGAAGTAAGAAATAATGATTAAGAGAATAGGGGGATTGATTTATGAGTGAAAGCTGGTCATTTATAGCTTGTCTAATGATGGGCATATTTAAAAGGAGAGACAGTAGTTAGTGTTCATATATTTAGAGAATGTTCAGACAAAGAGAAAAATTGTTTTGGGCATCTAAGAGATTGAAATAATATGAGGAAAAGAATAGTTTAGAAAACAAATTAGCAAAAGTAGAAAAAATATATATGTATAATTTACATTGGAAACTGTTTGAAAGCAGAATCACCTCCCCATGGAGCTGGTGGGTGGGATATACTAGCTGCCTCTGATTTCTGTAATTCATGGCAGATGCTTGGGAACAGGTTACATAAGAGGTTTCTGGGAATGGTTTAAAATGAAGTCTTGTAAAATGCGTAAGGTCAGGCTGGATGACCTAGGTGGTGCATTCTGACTCTGTCAGATCCTGTGATAGCTTGTGGCATTCTGCTGCTCAGCACTAATGTACTGTGAGGGTTATTTACTGGCAAAATTCAATGAGCCTTTATTTGGTTGAGGATCAGAATTATTTGAAAAATAATAATTGGCCTTGGAATATATTTGTTTTGGTCCAATATCTCTTCCTTTTCCTTGCCCCAGTTATCTTAATTTTTTCATCAAATCAAAATAAGAGTTTTTACTTGGTTAAAAATTCTGTTGCTTTTTGTTAACCCCTGCTTTTAATTAGCTTTTGATGCTAATTGGTGCATATTGCTTCCAGGGAAGAACTAACACAGTGTTTGGAAAATGATTTTGAATAATTTTGAATAATTTCAGGAATAAGTTCTTCCTATAAAGTACTAGACAAATTGATCAGAGGCTCAATCCACGCTGTACAAGTTCAAAAAAATTTTTTTAATGGTATTTGTGTATTACACTCCTTAAGTCGGTTGACAGCAGTGGGTGCTGAAGTGGAATCTGTGAGACATTATTCAGGGTACGGGGATAAAATATTAAAGCTCTTACTTCTTTTTTTGACCTTATGAAATTGAGCTTATGAATATTTCCTAGATGGAAGGACACTGGTGCCTCTCTTGCTTCATACATCAAACAGGTACATATTATGTGGGCCGAGAGGGGGGCTGCCCCGTCACGGAGGGCGACAACAGTGCGCTCACCAGGGGTGTGTCCAGTTAAAATGTGTTCGCTTAGCAGAACTACAGCTTGTACTGTGTAATTCTTAACTGGGCTGTTAACAACATGGACAGAGAAGAGGATGATGGAAGATACTTCCAATGAAAATGAAGTATCTTTTCATTAGCCACATTATGATGTTCAAACAGTGATCATTCGATCAATCTTGGCAACAGGGCAGGCACAAAATTCATGATTATATAAAATATGAATTTACATCCACTATCATTAACAATGCAGCCTTTCTAAAGATATATATTGTGCTTTGAGGTATTGGCTAATGCTAACATGAAGTTATCTACATTACTAAGACATTTAAGAAAAGATTTCATTTCATCTGAAATTTGTTTATTTAAGCTGAGTCGTCCTTTAAAACTATTCTTGTGTGTATTTTACAATGTCATGATATAGTGGCACAGAAGTACATATACAATTTATAAATATACATACAGTGAGAATGCATTACAAAGTTTTTTTTAATGAATAGATGTGCGATCAAAAAAAAGCTTGAAACATAAATGCTTTTTAGTTAAAGATCTGAGGTTCACAGTTTTTAGTTATTATGTTATTATTCTGATTACACAATTTAAATGTCTTATTCTGATTAAAATATCCTTGATGTTGTCACGTTTAGGTGACTTTTCCAGGTTGAAATAGAAGAAAATGAAGTAGAATGGAATGAATCAAATTACAGAATTAGTCATTGTAGGTGTAGTAAATGTTCAATAACCAAGATCGCGAGAATTTAATAATAAGAAAAGAATTGTGGTAATTCAACTCATTTGTGGGAAGCTGGGTCTAAATCAAAGAGAGATAAGAGTTATCAAATATTCTTTAAGGAGTGCTTCTTCAGTAATTTTGAGGACAGATAAGAAGAAACCAAGTTAATTGTGTTTTAGCAAATCTTTTAAGTGCTTTCATTGAACAGGTAGCTGAGAATTATTTATCATTACTCTGTTTATTATTTGAATTAAAATTAATACCAAAGTGGTGCTTGAGAATGGTCTTTTTCTTTTCACATTTAAATAGGCTAGACATTTGCTTTGTTTGTACCATTTAATTTATTTTCACACAGCCTATGAAGGTAACCATCAACTCAGAATTAATTAGTGGAGTCAAAATTAATGAGGTTTTACTGTATTGAGCTATTTCTACTCTCGGCCACTTTTCTTCACATAAGTTGGACTAGCATTTTCTTGAAAGAAGAAAAATTAGATTTATTTAGATCTATATTTTAAAAAGCAGAGAGCCATCTTTTCTTGTGAGTTAAGTACCTCTAATAACTGTGCTTTCTTGGGCTTGGCAATATTGATTTTTGTGTGTTTATTTTCAGTCTTGATTATTTTGGCTGTTTCCAGACTGTTGCTCATTACAGTAAAGCTAGACTTAACTCTTCACATGATTATTTTCATTTATGCGTATGGTATAACATTTTTATTTTGGACCAAACATTTTCTTTGTGGTTGAGGCATGTCAGTTGCCAGTTTTCATCATTATTGCACTAGCCAAAGGAAAACAGAACCATTCCTTAAAACGTATTTATGTATGTTTAGAAGAGAACGCGTCATGTGGGAATGAAAAGCTAGAACTTGGAGAATTCAATTATTTTTCCTTTCAGAAAATTATATCCTAAAAAAAAATTACATCTTATAATCTTTTTAAAACATACCCTATGCTATTATTTAATAGTTCCTTTGTGTGTTAGTTTTTACTAATAAGAGTGATAACATGATGTAGGGTTTTTAAATTTTTTATGAGGATGGATTGTATTTTCTTGAATTTAAAAAAATTATCCATCAGCATATAAACGTCAAGGGTGAAAGTTCTGACGGTGCAACTTCTCATGAGGAGTTCGTGCTGAAGGGCAAGATCCTCAGAGGAAGAGGGAAGCCTTTTTACTTTGCTTAACGTGTGCAGTCTTCTCTCTGCTAGGCGACAAACTATAGTAAGAGATGTTGGCAGAGAGAATGTGTGGGCCAGCGGTTCTCAGTAGGCTCGTATCACCTCAGATGTTGAGATCTACCAACAGAATCTAATTTGAAAAACACCAAACGTAGTAACGAATATTGGTAAAAATTCACCTTAAAAGCAAACAGGCAAACAGACTTCACCCCAACTCATGCCTCATTTTCTCTATAATAAGGAATGACAAGAATGTATGTGAATATTAAGGAAATGATTGTCGACTTGGGGACCAGCAAGTAGGCGAGTTAGGTGCGTGGCATTAATTAAGGGTTAGCTCATTTTAAGTAAGATTTTGGAGAGCTTATGAGTCAAAGTAGCAGAGTGAAAATTAGTGGCAGGCGTTGTGAGGCCTGATTAAAGGATGTGAATAGAATAAAAGGGATGCTGTTTAGGAATTGTTCTTTTTAGTCACTCGGACACAGAGAAAAAAAGATCACTGTTAGATTTATTTTCTCCAATGAGAGAAATAAAATGACCAGTTTTTAGCAGATCGATGTTGCAAAATAGGAAATAGTTAACCATCATGTAGCAATCATCCCTTTTTGTAAACTGGATGATGGATGTATTTCATAAATACAAAGTCAGCATTAATGACTATCTGTAGAAATACAGAGCATCCGTTGCATTAAACTGTTATCTTCAGTTAGCAATGTACGTCTGGTGAAACTCAGAAATATTTTATGTGCTGTGAAATACGTTTTATTCTAACATTGCCTATGTTTAAATGATATTTTTGTAGTTTGCCACTTTATTTTGACGTATGACTTAATTAAAAAGTGAATTTTTGCATGCCATAGTCAGCTGCCCCTCAGTTTTTAATGTCTTTTTAAAAAAGGAAATCATATTTTATGCTTCAGTTGAATGCTTATCAGGGAGCTTGAAATAAATAGCTTAACAAACGCTTGCTGAAGAAAATTCTGTATGACGTTTTATTGAATGTTTATAACACGATCTCTCTGAACTTAGTTTTCTTAACTTTTAAAATCAGTTAATACCTCCTAGGCTGATTATAGTTTTAAAATCATTATAAAACAAAAAGTACAAATAAAGCTAATACAGAACAAAATGTTAAAGCGTGAATTTAAGAACAAAGTAAGTTAGTTAAATCTTACACCCTTTTTTAAATTAATGCTCTGCTTTATTCAAACATTGATTTTATGTTGTTTACAAAAATAAATATTATTCAGTTAGATGCAAATACAGCTAAATCATGGTGAAGAGAAAATGAAAGAAAAAGTGGATGAGGCCACTGAGAGTCCACATTGATAAATACAGTTTGGTGTTTGAGATGTCTGCCCACATCCTCCACTGTTCTAGGCAGAAAATTCAGTTCCAGGTTTCTTAGTAACCAAAACATAAAAGAAATCAGTTGTAGCAGCTTTCTCCAAAGTGTGTTTCTCAAAAAACTGCATCTTCTTAGATTATGATGAACAAATAAACTTGGAGATGAGTGGTAGCATATGCCCCTTGTGGGGATAATTATATTCACATCAGCATGTTAAAGCCTCTTAAGAGTTCTGGGGGTAAAAATGGCAACTGTAACTTGTGTTTCCAATGCACACATGGTAAACCACCGCCTTGCTTTTCTCATCTGATACGTGACAACATTTCCCATTGAGATAGACCAATCAGCGAGATACTGTTCTTTAGCTGAAAAACTCTACTTAGGCAAAGCCCTGGAGGATGAGGTTTGAGAATTTTCTCTTCTGGATCCTGTAGAAGGGATAGTATGTCTGTAGTGCCGTGGATCATCCGCAATCAATAGCCACAACATACACAATAACAAGTTTTGGGTGGCGGTGTTCATAGGGTTTCACCTTCATGTGATCTGGCAGCAGAATCTAATAAGTCACGAAAAGTTTGAAATTGCTTACAGATTGTCTTATAAACATGTAAAGACTTTAATTTTTAATTTTCTAGGTTATAGACTTAGTTCTCCATAGCTAGTGAGCATCTTTACCATCTTTGATTATGTTTATTCCATCTTGTTCTAAAAAGCCATGGAAGAGCAAAAACTTCTATGCAGCAGAATGTTTAATTGGCTGTTGTATGTTAGTTGAGATCATGCACCTGCTGACGTTACAAATGGAAGCTATGAAGCACATCTACAGATAATACAAATTCTGCGTAGTACTTAAGAAATGATTGTGGCAGAGGGACCCTGAGGGTATTGTTTTTGAGCAAAGAAGCAGGGAGGAGCATGGGTCTTGTGACAAGAGTCAGAAACAGAAAGAAGCACTCCAGAAAGCAGCTCCAGTCACTAACAAAGGGAAGTTCAGACTGTGGAAAGAGAACACATAATAGTAGATCAATTCTTTTCCCCAGCTTTGCCTGTTCACACATAAGAATTATTTTTAGTAAGGTCATCTTCAAATTTGAACAGCAAATTTTTTAAGACATCTTTCCCCTATTTAATGGAGGATTTATTTAATATTTTTAAAAGGGTCATGATGATGGAACTGGGAGTTTTATGTACAATATAAAGGAAGAAAATTTTCAACACATCCTAATATTGTGGTTGGTGTTTTCAGCAGCAGTGAATGTATAATTAATTTTGGTCTAATTGAAGACCAGATCCACTTTATTCTGAATTTAATGTAAATATAATTAAAGTTTATTCTTTTTTCAGGCAAGAGTACAGCACTGCATCTGCTCTGTAGCCAGTGACCACTCAGTGGGACTCCTAAGTTTGCGAGAGAAAAAATGCATTATGCTGGCATCTCGTCATCTTTTCCCCATTCAAGTAATCAAGTGGAGGCCCTCTGATGATTACCTAGTTGTGGGATGTTCAGATGGCTCCGTGTACGTCTGGCAGATGGACACTGGTAAGAACAAATGTTGAGCCAGACCAGAAAATTAAGTGTTCTTATTATGATGATACATGTAAAACATTATTTTAAAATACCACACATATTGAATTAACAATTGATATAAACACAAGAGTATGGTAAACTTGTCTAACAGGACTTAAAACATTATATTAATATGATAAAGGAAGAGTATCATTTTCCGGAATTTCTTAGCTGCTTAAATATATGATACTTGAATACTTTAGAATATGAAATTTTTTATAAGTGAGACCTTACTGAAAGAAAAAGTTGCTTTTTCAGTAATTTCCCTAGTAGGAAAAGACAAAGAGCTCCTAACTGTATGTGTACTGGAGGGCATTATTCTGATAACCAGTTTAGTACAATTACCCAATACGTAATATTCCAATTTAACAATTATCTTCTGATCTTCAGAAGGAGTTTGGTAAATAATCAGTCAACAATGGCATTCTTAAGTCAAGATTAAGGTAGAAAAGCAGAATAATATTTGGATTTCAACCATAACGGGAGGTGTACATTCTTTTTCCTCCTTGCTGTTCAGGCTTTAGCTAGTGATGTAAAGGTCCCTGGGGAGTCAGTAAGGCACATCCTGAAGGTATTGACATTATTTATTTATTAAATTTATTTATTTATTAAATAAATTAAAAATGGAGCTAAATAAATCACACCATCTAAGGTTTGATGCATGAAATGTCTTTAAACTCTGAGGAGATACTTTATCTCTCTACTTAGTGTTTTGGGAATGCATTTTTACAGATGAAGCCATATGACACCAAAACTACTCATGCATTTTGTGCAATTTTCTGTGTTTGCTGTTTTGAATTAAACTGATTATGAATATAATTCAAAAGGCATTTAAAAGTAATTTTAAAGACACTTAAAAATATCTTAACTTTATGCTTTTATGCAGTACTTTCTTTTAGTTGTTTTTTTCCCTCAAATGGGTACTTTTTATTTTCAGCGTTTATTTCCTAATGAAATGAAACTGAAGCTAGTAATATATAATTTAGCTAGAGAGGTAGCGGTCCAGAGTCTTCGTTTCTTTTACTGTATCTTAATTATATGCAATAGCACGTAATAGTGATGTAGAGGCCATGGAAATTGTTATTCTTTCACATCTCTGGGTAGTCAGAAAAGTAGCCGAACAACTAGCAACAAAATTTGGCCACCTGAACCTCTTGACTTCTACCTAGGAACTTATTTTTTTGTGGCAGGGGGAAGAGGTAGTTAGGTTTATTTATTTATTTTTAGAGGAGGTATTGGGGATTGAACCTAGGACCTTGTACATGCTAGGCATGCACTCTACCACTTGAGCTATATCCTCCCCCCTCTAGGAACTTATTAAAGGTGGGTCACCGACCTAGATGGTGGCTGCTTCTGTATGGACCTGTTTATATTCTTTCAGGATCAACCGTCTCGATCTTCACAGTTGATGTTCCCAGTAAGCATGCAGTGTTGTTCTCACAGGCATTTGACAAGGTCAAGGTCCTGTCTATTTGGGAAACAGTGGCCTGTTTTAAGTAATGACTGATGATATAAAACGTTCTTCTTATCTGACCATTACCAAGCCTTACCACCATTCTCATCTACACATTTTTATTGTCTTTGCTACATAACAAACATGATTCACCACATACCCACTTCTATAGGGACAGTTCTTGTACTAATGCAAACACCAGTAGTGCTTGCCAAATATTATTCAAAATTAGTGTGTGAAGTCTTAGCAATTTACTTGGTTCTGTTATCTTTTTCCTTTTCATTTATTTTCTATCCCTTCTAGTTTTCTGCAGTTTTTTGCAGTTACTGCATGCAATATGCATTGGAGTCATTTTTTAAAACTTAGTTATCCAATAAAATGTAATAGGGAATATGAACTAATGCATATTTGGCTACTGACACAGCATACATATAGCAACACATATAAAGCAAGTATACCCCAAAACATTTATTCTAATTTTTTTAAATTGATGGTTTTGTCTTGTTACTAAAGTAACCAGAGAGAATCAGGAGGTGATAGTTCAGTCCAGTCTTTTGTTACTAGCAGAAGGGGTTAGTAGCAAGTATTTTATTTGCACATTTGACCTTTTGCCTGCAGGATTTAATACAGTGGAGATTTGACTTTGATTCAGTTTCACAGTATGTGGCATTACATCATCTAGTTTTCTATATCATCTACATTTTTGTTTTTCTTTCTATTACAAAAAATATTATATGATAGGACAGGCAAAGACACAAAGATGAAATGGCTAATTAGAAAATGGTACTTTTCTAAAATTTTGGTAAAACTAAGTAAAATCAGTTTCTTTTTTCCCTTTGGATGATTCACTCTGAAATTTTGAAGGAAGATGTTGTTAGAGTGGACATACGGCTGTCTTTTCTACTTTCCTCCCCTCCTTCACACCTAGGCTATTTTCATTGGTTTCTCTGTCTTCTATTTCTACCTTCTACTCCATCCTGTACTCTCCTGGCAAATTAATCATAGGAAATAAAGCAACAGTGACCACACTTGGTTCATGCCACTGTCTTAATGAAAAAAAAATGCAAATAATTTTAGTTCATCTAGCCTTTAAGACAAGGCCCTCCATAGTGGGGTACACTCCTTCCTTTGTCTTACCTCCTGCTGCTCTTTTGCACAGAACAGTTGCTCTGTATGGAGAATAACTCTTGTCAAGAATAATTGGGTCACTGCCTACCACTTTTGGTCTTTTGTATCACTTATATTGTTGCTCATGGTTTTCATTCATTTGGAACATTCTTTCTTTCTATCTGTTTATTTGTTTAAACAGTATATTATCTTTTAAGGAAATTTGAATATAAAAACAAAGTTTTACATATTTCCCATGTAGTTACCGTTTCTCTTGCTCTTCATTGCTTTATGTAGATCCATATTTCCATCTGGAATAATTTTCCTTTTGCCTAATATTTAATATTTCCTATAGTGCAGACTTTTTTTCTGGATATAGAATTCTAGGGTGACAGATTTTTGTTTTTTGTTTTTCCTTTCAATACCCCACTGTCTTCTTGCCTGCGTTATTTCCAGTGAGAAATCTGCTGTCACTCTTATCTTGGTTCCTTTATACATATGTTGTGTGTATTTTTTTTCCTTTTTATTATCGGAGCAATTTGGTTATAGCTTTCTTCATATTTCTTGTGTTTAGGGTTTGTTGTACTTCTTGGATCTGTGGGCATACAGTTTTTCACAAATTTAGAAACTCTTGGCCATTGTTAATCTAATCTGTTTTTAATCCTCCCTCCTCTTTCCTCTCTTCAGAGACTCCAGTCAGATGTCTATTAGGCTACTTGAAATTGCCCCCAGCTCATAGTTTGTCATTTCATTTTTAAAATTATTTTTTCTGTGTTTCATGTTATAGTTTCTATTCTGTGTTGTTAAGTTTACTGAGCTTTCCTTCTACAATGTCTAGTATGCTATTGTTCCCAGTGAGTGAGTGTGTTTTTCATCTTAGACATTGTAGTTTTCATCTCTAAAAGTTTGATTTTGGTCTTTTGATATCTTCAACGTCTCACTTTTCAAACTTTTTTAACAGCTAGAGGACAGTTATAACAACTTTTAATGCCTTTGTCTGCCATTAAAAAAAGAATCTTTTTCAGTGGTTTTTATTGGTTTGCCTTTTTCCCCTCATTATAGATTATATTTTCCTGCTTTTTTTTCCAGAATAGCCTGAAGGCGGTTCTAGGGTAGAAGCAGGGAGATTAGCCTGTATGCTATTGCCTCCAGGCAATAAAGGATGGTGGATTATTGGACTAGAGTGGTAGCAGTGGAGCTGATAAGAAGTGGTTAAAGTTGGTATATTTTGAAGGTAGAGTCAATAGGATTTGCTGATAGTTGAATGAGGGGCATTAGGGAATGAAATGTGCCAAAGATGACTCTAAGATTTTGGTCATGAGGAATTTGAAAGATGCAATTCCTTTTGAGATACTGAGAAAACAGTGGGAATGGGAAGAGTAGATTTCTGGAAGATTAAGGATTCAATTTTTTATATGTTAAGTGAGTTAAATATTAGATATCCAAGTAGAGACATAGGGTATTTTTTCAATAGTAAATACCACAGTACTACATGATCTGCAGTTGGTTGACTCTATAAGTATCAACTATGGATATGAAGGGTCAATTATATAGTTAAATGTGGATTTTCAACTGCATGGAGGAGTGGTACCCCTAATCCTTGTGTTATTCAAGTGTCAACTGTATATATGAGTCTGCAGTTCAAGGGAGGGAAGTCAGAGTGGGTGATGCAAATTTGGGAATTCTTGGCATATAGAAGACATGTAAATTTGCGCCCCTGGATGTATCACCAAGGGGGTGCAGGTAGATGATGGCTGGGGGCGCTCCAGGGTTTAGATGTATTTCTGTGATGTAGAGAAACCAGCAAAGGAGTCTAAAATGGACCTGCCAAGAAAAAGAAGAAAATAAAGTCATTGTAGTTGTAGTTGCCTGGAAGCCAAGTGAAAAAAAACCAATGTGTTTCAAGGAGTAGAGAGGACGATTAAGTGCTATCAATGATGGTAAAATGAAGAGCGAGAGCTGCCTATTAGATTTAGCAACATGGAAAGTAGGTCTGTGCGTGCCTGGGGTGATATCTGATTTGAGTTAAGTTCAAAGGATGATGGGAGGAGAAAAATTGGGAGGAAAAATAGACAGCTGTTTACAGGATGATTATGAAAAATGGGATACCAGCTAGAGAGAGAGACTGTGTTTTAACTTTTTTTACACAGGTGAAGTAATTGCATGTTTATAAGCTGATGGGAACGATCATACACTGATGGGAATGATCTGGTAGAAGGGGAAAATTGATGCAGAGGAAGGGGAGAACTGCTGAAATGGTGTCCTTGGGCAGACAAGCCACAAGTATGTTAGGTACGAGCCGGGATAGTTCATTCATAATTGTAATCATAGGGAGTAGTGTGACTGGAGACGTGGCAGTGGGAGCTTGTGGAGCTTCTTTTCTAATTGCTTCTTCCTAAAGGAAACAGGAAACAGAACTTTTCACCCAGATGAGGGCAGGAAATGGCATGTTGGGATTGGAGGGGAAAGGAAATGTAGACTAATTAACTAGGAGAGTAGGTAAATGAAAGGTCTATGGGAATGTGGTCACTACTAAGGACCCACTGAGATCAGTGGCCAAGAATTTCAAGTGGATCTTTTAGTGCATTCGTCATTCATGTCCATCTTCGTTATAAGATGCAGAGTAGGTGGAGAGTTGGATTCAGCCACTGTTGGAGTTTGCTTAACTAGTATGAGGAAGTGACATGGGGACAAAGCTGTGGTTATGAGCTTGGATGATGGAATTTTAGTTCAGTGAGGAGGGATGCAAGGACATAGGAAAGTGAGAGATGGGGCCAGGATGATCATTTAATGGATTATTAGAGGCAACGTTGAATAAGGAATTATTGGAGTCAGAAGGGTTGAAGTGCAGAATGGGGGCTGCTGCCAGATGTGGAGTGTTTGAAATTGGAATCTGTGTTGGGATTTTGGTTATCGGTAGTCAGAGGATTAAAATACGACCGTTGACTCTGGTTGAATGAAGGACAGAATTCATTGGAATAGAGGAGCCCAAAGAACAAGGAGGCCAGGATATGTGGAAGAATCATGTGTGCTGAGGATTTTCAAGTGTCTTTGAATTTTTACATCACAGAGTATATACTCTCTCCTTTTCATACACACATGAAAAATGTTTCAAGTAACAATTCCTTCTTCTTTTGCTTTGCCTTCCAAAATATATGTGACTCAGTGAATTGGTTAGTAAAACACTGATTTACGTTAATACTAAAACCACCTGAATTATTCCAAGAGTACTGTTGGAAAGAGGACAGTGAGTCAGCAGTTAAACTCTTTAAGGAATGAGAGACAAACTTGAATGGCATGTGTAAAAACCATTGGGAAGAAAATACTGTGTTTGGATGTTTGGGCACTAGCTCAAAAATACAGTAAACATTTTGTGTTTTGTTGACATTAAGTTTCTGGTGTTCTCTATGGTTATTTTTCAAAATTGGCTTGCCTGCTTTTAGAATGATTCTGGGAGAACGCCCAGTGAATCCAAATAAACTTTATCATCATTACATTGTCACTATTATAATCTTCAAGAAATAATATACAGTTCCTCACAATGAGATCCTTCTCTGCCTAACGTGATGCTGGGTACTGTGTAAAACAAAGTACACAGAAAGGTTCTCTGCTTTACAGGAAGGGGTCTGCACCCTCACTTAGACAAGAAATGTGTGGAGATGGAGATAAGTGGAAAGAATGGCCAAATGAAGCAGCTTTGAAATCATCACAAGTTGTAGTAATTTTCACAAACATACAAGGAAACATTGATTGGATATTAAGAATAAGAATCAAGACTTTTGCAGGCAGAATGAGAAGTTATAATTTTTTTCCTATTTGTGTAGGTTTCTTAGAGAAAGAGAAGCTTCAGGAATTACTCAAGTAGAAAAATTTAGAAAAGTAGCAAAACCTAGGTTTTTGTTTTTGTTTTTGAAGATTAGAGTAAGGTGACATCATAGAAATTGATGTTTGTAATAGGGTAATGGTGTGGAGCAATCGAGGAGACCATCTTGGAAGAAGAAAGAAAGTAGAAAAGCCAGGAAGATGTCATTGAAATCTTGGCTCTGAACTTGAGTTTACCAGGAAGTTGTGGTAGGAGCTGTAAGGGAGAGGAAATGATTAAGGTTCATGGAAGATCATTAGAGGAAGGCAGTACAAGAAAGTGTTTCTAGGAGGCACTGATGAAACATATTCCCACATAAAAAAAAGTCCATGTATTTTTCCTTTCTTAAAAAACGACTTGCACTCTTACAGTGTTGTGCAGTGACCGTGAACGTGTGTGTCTTCCAGGCGCGCTGGATCGTTGTGTGATGGGGATCACAGCGGTCGAGATACTGAACGCTTGTGATGAAGCAGTTCCCGCTGCCGTTGATTCACTCAGTCACCCAGCAGTCAACCTAAAACAAGCCATGACCAGACGTAGTCTTGCTGCTCTGAAAAATATGGCCCATCATAAGCTACAAACCCTTGCAACTAACCTCTTGGCTTCCGAAGCATCTGACAAAGTAAGTTTTGTATGTGGGCTCATGTGTCCCCTCCCATTTGACTTCATTTAATAACATCGCTTTGGCATGTCTCAGGGAATAATTTTTGGAAGGTGACACTGGTGAGAAATAAGCTTCTGATGTTTACTTAGGTTTATTCCAACACAGTTTTGGAGTATTTCAAGTATTTGGCATTTGGAAAAAGTAATTTGTTCTCACCAGGCAAAATATTTTTAAATGATTCCTACAGAATTAAGTGACTTCAGTTTTTGAAGTTAGAGCAAACATTTTGTATATAATCTATCTTTTTGACTTTCTGACAGTCTTCCTGTTGAAAGATTGAGCACCAGCTAATACTGTCAGGAGAAAAAAGTAAAATTAGGATATTTCTAATTGTGACTTACCATTTGTTTTAAAAGTAGGTTCTGATTTTATTAAGGTTAGGCCATTGTAAGGATTTAAGAAAATATTTGAGAATAGGTATGGTGAAGTTGCACACGTGCTGGCATTTTTCTGCAAGACCCAGGCTCCATCACACTTTCCTTACCAACCCATCAAGAATCCCAGTTCACTGATTGCCTACTTGTCTTCAGTTCTGCAGACACGAGCCACTATTCGGTTTGTGGGGTTTGTGTTCTGTAGTATTGTTAGAACTGGTTTGTCTCTGGTAGTGGATAAATGGAACCTGGACACAATTCCAGTATTTTATTTGAATCACATCTTAAAATTCCTAGTCCCATCCAAGTATTCCTTAGAATTATGAATGGCTGACCAAATAGTTCTATTTTCATTCTCTTGTCCCTAATTACTAAGTTTTAAATGATTAGACATGTGAGTAAAAATGAAGAGGCTGAAAGGCTCATCTACAAACTTGAAAATTTGCCCGTGAGTTAATGAGTGCTAATGACACATGAAATACTGTGGGCAGTTCCATTACCCGTATCCTCCAGTAACTGGCAGTAATATTTGATCATTCTGTCTTTCCCCAAGATATTAATGTTTTATTGGCATTGTTATATTGATCTTTCATAGGTTAGAATTATGAAATCTTTCTGTGATTTTTTTTTCATGCTTTCTGTCCCATGCGCTAAAGTTTGAACAGAAATTAGGCATAAGTGCATTTGCCATGCCTATAATTTCTTTCAAGGGATTATGTAGATGCCCCTAGGAATTCAGTGTTCATAGCACATTGTCTGATGTTCTATATAATTTTAATTTTGAGCAATTTTATAAAACAATCTATTCAAAGGCAAGCATGTATGTTTTGTAATTCCCAAATATAATCTTGTTTGTTGGTATCCCCTAGAAGTAAAAATTTGGAAGAATAGTTAACTGGAAAAATTAAAGAAAGGAAAGTGGTACAGTAACATTTATGAATGGCTTTTGGAAGTGGTCATGGTCCATTATGTGATTTTTACAATCCTGTTTGTCCCTGTTTTAATGGCGCATTTTATAGTGCAATTAGTGATAAAAGCCCCAGATATCAGAGACGCTACACTTACGTATTGTAAAATATATTGCTTGCGAACCTCCTGCGTCTTGTAGCAGTGGTAATTGTTGCTTGGCCTACAAGGAAAACAATTATAGAAGGGGGAAAAGGCTTAGGAAGCCGAGGCTGCAGGAGGATAATCACTTTATGAAAAATGTATGCTGGCTGGACCATTAGGGATTTCTCTAACTATTTTCTCATGTTGAATTCGAGGCTTCTTCGAAGGGGAATATTTAAAGAGCTGTCCTCTGGACGGCTTTCTAACCTCGGGAGAAATAATACCCACCCAAAGTGAAAAAAAAACAAAAAACAAAAAACCCCCAAAACATACCTAAGAGCCTCTCAGTGTTGCAGGACTTACTCGAGGTTATTGGATCTGATTTTTCTCACGGGTCTCTCAATGGAAAGTGAAATCTCTATGGGAATACTCTATAGAAAGTATCGCATTTTTTCCTCATTAGTGTTAGCAACTGGGCTATTTGGAAGTAATATGTTTTGTATTGTTAATTATGTTAAATTTGCCAGACATATACAACTTTGCAAGCAGAAGATGGAGAATTTATTGTCCTATGATTTTTTTTTCTTTCACTGGAAAATCAAGAGGATGTTAAGTAGAATTAGCCTTTATTACTGCATTGAATCTTTGGAGAGTGTGTGTGTTCGAAATCCTGTGTATTCCTTCTATGGCATGTATCGTATATTTCCCCTTGTATTGTAACAGAAATAAACAGCTCATGGAATAGGCTTTGAGGGTGACTATAATAGGAGACATTTGTCTCTTCTGTGTAGTGTGGGAAGTGTGGGGTGTGCAGGGGGAGCAAAAAACCTCCAAGAAGGTAGTGACGTGGTGGTGAGATAGAGTAGGGATGGCATTTTATTTCCTAAATGAATGTTGGGGTGCAGAGTCTGAGTTAGACCACACTTGACATTTTAGGGTGCCTGCTCTCATTAGATTATTCCAGATATGCCACCTTCCTTAATTCTCCCTGCAAATAGATGAGTTAGTTATTATCCTCAAATTTGCCAATGATGAACCTAAAAGACATTTGGTTAGAACAGAGATTGGCACATTTTTTTGTGTGTAAAGGGTTAGATAGTAAAACAAAAATTAGGCTTTGTGGACCTCGCCTCTCTCACGGTGATGCACTGCACCATTAGAGTGGCGTTAAAGCAGCCATAGACAATGTGTAAATAGATGTGTGACTGGCTCCCAGCAAAACTTTATTTACGAAAATAGGCAGTGAGCTGGGATGCAGTGCTATTTGAGGAGTGCATAAATGTATATGTCAGGAAGCATGTCTGGGTATATTAGGTGATCTTTTTGACAAATCTTCCCATAAAGCATTTGCCAGACCCTAGTTCTTGGTGAGGAAATCTTGGGCGATGCCTTGGGCCAATGGGATTTTATTAGTGAAGCTAGACAACCCTTGTGGCCATGAAATTAACTTCTTTTTTTTTTTAAATAAGACTTTATTTATTTTTTTTTAGCACAGGCACTGGGAATTGAACTCAGGACTTTGTGCATGCTAAGCATGCACTCTACCACTGAGCTATTCCCACTGCACACACCCTCCCTGCCCCCGAATGAAATTCATTTCTTAGTGTATGTAATTTTGTAATTGGGCATCATTACACCTTGGGTGTTGTATCGGTCAGAATCACTCTGTTTATATTGAAACATGATGAGGTTGGAGGAATTGAAAATTGACCGGTATGATTTACCTTTTACCTTCCATTTCTCTCTCTCTTGTCTAATGAGTCAAAACCCTGAAAAAAATGAATGGACTACATTTGCAAAGGTCAGTAGCTTTGTATTCCGTGTAACTAGGTGAGAGAATGGAATTTAGAAGTCAGATATAACCTGCTGAGAACATACTTTGTTTTTTGCTTGCAGAATTCGCTCTGAAAAAAAAAAAAAAGTCATACTGATTGAATTGACTTTGTGATTCATTGTGAAAAGGGCACTGTAAGGTACAGACAGGGACAATCCAAATGACGCAAGTGCAGGGTACCAGGTCTTGTCCAGTGAACTGTTTCTTCAGCCTCAGAAAAAGTCTCATGATATGTATGACCTTCAGAGAATCAGTTAAATTTGCCGAATATTCCACCTCAAAACTTTCATGAATATTTTAATAGAAAACATGAATATTTTAATTGTATATTATATACTTATAAGTATGTATAAATTCAGTTTTGGGTTCTTCTAAGTAGTTATTAAGACAAAAATGTTATATTACTCTAATTGTTGTCTAGTCTTTAATAAATAGAGTTAAGGAGATTTTGAAATGAATGTTTAATATGAATCTTTCTTAAAAACTAGGAAGCTAAGATTGAAGGTTTTAAAATGAATGTTTAAAATCTTGACCTAGATGAAGCACATTAATGAATACATGTATTTTCTTCTGGGTCACACTGGTAAGATACCAGTGTGGGTTTGAATTTACAGGGAGCATACTTTATATTCTGTGAGAAGATCCTTCACCTCCTGGCAGGTGACAAGTTGCCCTGAGTCCATCAGTCCGGACTGAACTTCCCCTCCTGTGTTGCCCCACCTGCTGTGCATCCACAGCCTGATAACATGGTGGTTACCGAGTCTGACTTTTTAACTCTGCACTGAACAATCGGGGGCTTTGGCTCTCTCTCCCTCCATCACTTCCCTCTCTATTGTTTGTCATTTGGTACTTCAAAACCTCCAGAATGAAAATTTTAGAATTTAACATGAGACTTTGGTAGAGAGATTCCTTATTGAGCTTAAAAATTTTTCTTTTGGAACCACAAATGTAAAATTAAAAGCTTTAAAGTAATTAATAAGGCACAGGAACACAGGTCAGATAATGGGATCATTTTCGGGACATACGTTACTGCGTTAGTTGCTGTCGTCACAAACACAAGGCAGCCCGTGGAGTCTAGGTGGCCTGGCTCCCTCCTCCATCCCTCTTTTCCTCTTTTTCTCCATTTTTTCCTCCCTCCCGCATCTATCCGTCATATTAAATTAATCATTTCTTCCTCATCTCTGTAAAAATGATCCATATTCCTTTAATGCATTTATGTCCTAATTCCGTTACTCTCTCTTACTTTTTCTCCACATTTGCCTCACTTTCATAGAACCCTCACACACAGGAAAGTACAGCGTACGTAGGTTGTAAGTGCATGTGCTCCTTTGTGTGTGTGTGTGTGTGTGTGTGTGTTTAGAGTTTGGGATGACTGCTTTGAACATTTCCAACTTGGGTTGACTTTCCACCAACTATTTCCTGGTTTGAGGGAAATGAGTTTTAGGCTACTATGAATATAATATAAATTATTCCATTAAGGAGTAAAACTAAATTCTCAAAACTAGTTACATGTTTAATTCATATTTACTAACGTTTTGGTGATTTTAAGGTCTTTATTTAGTTCTCTTAATTTTAAGGATCCTTACATAAGACATGACTGGGTTTATGGTGATGATTGAGTAACACCATCACCTAATGACTTGTACAAGGGAACGCTCCCTCTTGGAACTGAGCAAGACCCATGAATCCAGTGCCTTACT